CCACCTTTTACCTTCGACGTGCTTTACCCTATGTACATGTACAGTAATTAATTTTTTGTAAAATCAGATATAGAGATTGCTAATTTGTAGGCTTATGTTTGGATTTGTAGAGGTGGGTTGCGTAATTTGAGATAAATATTCTCTCGTGGTTTGTGAATCGATAATTAAAAACGATATTTTAAAATTCCAAATCGTAAATTTAATCAATCTGGCATAATAACATAGCTGGAATATAATAAATTGAATTGTCACATGATTTAATGGCTAAGACAAAACAGTTGTGTGTGTGTGCATGTGCCATAGGCGTCGGAAGCAAATTGAAAGTAGGGGGGGGGAGGGCTACACCAATAAAAAAAAGATTTGCCCAAGTTTTCAGAGCCTATATTATGTCGACATGAATCTTTGCAAAAAAGTGGGAAGGCTTAGCCCCCCCCCTTCCGTTCTAAAGCCTATGTGTACAGGGTACATGTACATACAAACTCCAACTATTTGCATGCATCATTCATATAAATGTACGATTAATTTGTCATTATATGATCTAAAGTAACATACACGACAAGTCAATCACTTATATAGTTTTCTTAACTATAATTGCATAACATATGTAAATTGATGTGATTTCATGAAATTTGAAAACTTAAACCTATTCCAATAGTAACCGGTGTCGTTGTCTAATAGTAGCCGTAACACAAGATTCTACTAACAAAAACGCTCTAGCTTTTAAAAAACCCACCAAAGTGGACAATGATATAAAATAAACAATAATATTTACAAATACACAACGAACTGTCGATTCATTTTTATCGAATATCTAAAACTTCTGACGCAATTTTAGTATATTTCTTACGTGCATGTAAATTTGTCCAACGCTTTCGACAGTTTTTGTCTTATATATCAGCAATTCTTTAATTCATTAAAATTCTAAATATACATGTTAGTTTCAAAATGTATATAATGTTCCGTAAGGGCGAATTACCAAGCGGCTAAACTTTAATAATTGAACTATTGTCCATTTTGTTGAGCCAGCGAAGAAAAATACTTACAATTTCGTCCATTTTTTTCCACTAGCAACCGCTCAGTTTTCAGATAGCAGTAATGAACGCGCATTTTTTTCTGATAGCAACCGTTTAGGTACTACACCGTGTGTATGGCAACATAGCAAAGATTAAACTTTTCTTAAATGCAATTTAAATATATTGGTACCCAAAGTAGGGTCTTCTCACAAGAAATACAATTGCAAAACAGGAAAGCCTTAGAACCACTTGTTCAAAAGTAATGGCTAAGGATAAGTTTTTGAAAGGTAGGTCAAACTCAGTTATGGCCAAGGTTAAAGTTTTTTTTCATACGTAAGGAAATCTCCAAGATCAAGGTCAAAATGTAAAAGTTTTCAGTATCCAGTGAAAGGTCATGCCAAAAAAAAAAAATACATATGTGAAGTATGAAAGTGCTAGTATCTACCGTTTAAAAGTTATGGCCAAAGTAAAAATTTGGCATTTTTGTGTAAAATGGGACAAACTCCAAGGTAAGGGTCAAAAGGTCAAATTTGGTAGTACCCAAAGTAAGGTCTTGTCACAAAGAATACACATATTAAATATGAAAGTCATAGCTCCAATAAATGAAAAGTTATGGTTTATAAGGTTAAAGTTTTTGCGGACAAACAGACCGCCAGATAGACAGCTAGACATACAGACGGACACGATAAAACTATATACCCACGAATCTTCGATTACGGGGACATAAAAAGAAATGGTCATCAATTAACTTTCATATTATGATACAGTATAAAGAAGACGTTAATAAAAAATGAAAATGTTTGTTCCGATTTTCATATCAAATTCTCTGAAAATATCCTCAGAACCGAGTAAAAGAGTGGAGTAAAACAAGAATTAAGAAATGTAATACTATGTGCTAAATCAAAAAGTTAGGTCTACATGTATAGTTTTTGCATTAGAATGTGTATTTTACACTAGCCCATAGCTTTACAGAGCATATTTTAGGTGTTATACTCTCCCCACCCCCTTACTTATTAGGAGGAAGTCGGTTATTAACAAAAGCAACAACAACAAAAAAAAAACTATCCTATACCTGTATTTTTCTATAAGGTGGGACTAAAAATAAGCTTAAAATATTCTACTATTCTACCAATTTTCAACTGTTACTTTGCCACAATACTTTCAAGTATACCCCCACCAACATTTAAAGTATGCTTTAAACATGGCAAAGTAACTTATGATATGATAGTACTTGTTTGAAGGATTAACTTCATTTCAATATTTTATCTAGAGCCTCTTTCAGTATTATTGAAAGGTATAGAGTTTTATTTATAATTTTGCTTTTCATTTATCTATTATTCGCCCGGATCGATAGATCCAGGGCGTATATGGTTTTTGCCCTGTCTGTCCGTCTGTCTGTCTGTCTGTTTGTTTGTTTGTCCCGAACTTTAACCTTCACCATAACTTTTGAACCATAAAAGATAGAGACTTCATATTTGGTATGCATACTTCACTAATGAAGCTCTTTCAAATGACAACAAGGTCAATGACGTTGTGACCTTGACTGTGACCTTAATGCTAAAAATAGCCTTCTCCGTACTTTGTTGCTGCCGGGCGCATAGTGTTTCACAAACACATCTTGTTTTTTTTTGTTTTGATTTAACTTAATGTTCTTTTTTGGGAAGGGGGGGGGTATAAAAATTTCCTCTTCTTTCATTGTCACATAGGATTTGCCAAACTTAAACAAGCTAAAAGTTGAAATGAAGGAAAAATTAATTTTTCCTATTAAAGAGTACTAGTGTTTGAACCTGATTGTTGCATGGTTTGATTTCTAAAAACAAGTGGAATATCAATCTTTAAGCAAATATTATAAGGAGGAATATTGAAAAGAAATTTTATTTACTTGACAATTAAAGAATCTCTTTTTAAACACAATTTTAGCATTGAAAGACTACGCGACTCTTTTATTTATTTCATACGACTTTTGTATTTTTCTGGTTATAGAAAATGTAAAACTTAGTTTCGCTGTAAAAAAAGATATCAAACAGTGTATATTGTGAAAAAATATTAAAAACTTTATCTCTTAATAAAGTTTATTCATACACTTAAAATTATGGAACAGGTATGCATCTCTCTCTCTCTCTCTCTCTCTCTCTCTCTCTCTCTCCAGCGTGCGTTTGACCCATTTACATGTACCATCTTTGATTTTCTAAGTTTGCTCCTTTATCAGAGAAATGATGATTAATTGATTGATTGTTAATTGCTTAAAACTGATTTGACAATATTTCGGCAGAGAGAAATGAGGAACTTTATTACCCCTACGTGCTAAGAAGAACAAAGATCAAATCTATTCGAACAAATGCATGAATTACTCGAAGGAAAAACAATTATAATATACATGTACAGCATCTTTTCCCTTTCACCTGTTATAAATTTTGTATCTTTTTCCAGGGGGTCATTTTTCAATGGGGGTCAATTTTTTATAGGACTAACATATAAAATAATGACCCCTAGGACCCTTTTTCTACAAAAAATGATATTTTTCTACGGGTGGGGGGTCATTTTTTGTCGTTGAAAAATGACCCCCGTTCATTATTCGATGGAGGTCATTATTCGTCTTTACACCGGACCGTTTGAAATGCTGCTATTCTATATGTCCGTCATCCACAGTAAGTTTATTACCATGACTACCATCTATCTTTTTCTGTTATGTATTTAATTTGTTCGTGAAAATGTCACCCGATTGGGTACATTTTTATGTACTATATCCTCAATGTCAAAGGAGAAAAAAAAAAACAATGACCTTGACCTGACCTTGCTTTATTTTGAATTGTACACATGTAATGATGACGTAGAAACAGGTAATGTCTGCATGTTTTTTTGCATGCCATCTATCGTCATTTCAGCGAATGACTTTTGGTTTTGCATCGGTGATCGTTGGTTTTGCATCGGAGTCTGTTGGTTTTGCAAAGACTCTGTTGATTTTGTTTTTCAGTATGTTTTTAAACTTAGAGTTGTTAATTTTGCATTAACGCCTTTTTTTTTTACCCTATCCGCCGCCCACAGGGAACTCATATTATCTGAATTTATATAGCTTGTAATAGACTTGCATTTGAGAAACTTTAACATTTGCCATAACTATAAGCTGCTTTTCTGGACCATCAGTGTAGAACTTGGTATATTACAAATCAACTTAAACTGAATGAACACAGAATTGTCTGGTAGTGAAACTACAATTTAAATAAATAATTAACATTCGCATGCATGTTTGACCCTTTCTGGAATTCCAACGCATGAAGCTATTTAAAGCCCTGGTCATAATCAGGGGTCAATTGCCGGAACATAAAAACAAACTATAAATATTTGATAAATAGAGAGGAAATGTTCTTTGACATACAACCATAAAACAAAATATCCATCATGAATTCCTACTTTCCAAATTTGTTTAAAGTTTAAAAATCTGCTGATAAGGTTTTTATGGTCACCAGTCGCCGCGCATTAAGAATACGAGCCACGGTAAATGATGCGGTGATAATTAGAAATAAGGTAGAGACTGTTTGTTTTACTGTCGACCTATGTATCTCAAGAGGTTGAATTATTACTATCTTGTACACTCTCTGGAGATTTATTAAGTGAAAGAAAAACAGGGTCATAAACCTAATCTAATTATTGGCTTCTTAAAACTCTGTCAGTTTCCATGCGATCGTGGTATAAAATCAGAACTATCCAATATAAATTCTGTACTTTGTTTAACCTCAACCGCTACCCCTGTTAAATTCATTTATACGGGAATAATTTATGCAGAGCTTAGATTTTCTTTTTGGTTAATTGAGTTTATCAAATTAGGAATTTTTTACTCATTGTTTATACTCAGCCACTGGGTGTGTGTGATTGGAGGCTTCGTGAGCATGAATTTATTAGATGGGATTTTAACATTAAAAGTTCGATTTCACCAACGATTCTGATTTGTATGACATAAGGAAACGTAAGAAATTGACACAAAGGATCATGACAACACATAGAAAACTAAAATACAGTGTGTCTGATGCTAGTCGTCGAATGTATAGAGATGAAACCAACGGGATTTATCGAAAACTGGACAATCCCTCTCCCACAGAAAACCAACTAAGGCAACAGAGATTCGAGGCAAGACAGCGACCACTTAGTCATATCTTAGCCTCTAGTTCCTTCAGAGAAGATTTTAACAGGAATCAAATAACCAGAGGACAGAGTTTAAGCAACCTGAAGAAAGCGCGGTTGAGAAATTCATTGAATTTACCCCATAGTTTTTCTTTGGATTTAGGATACGATGTGGATGCAAATGCAAATTTGGACGACTTTTCAGCTCGATCTGGGAATTTAAGAGAGATTACAGTCTCGGGGGATTCTGCTTTCGGTTTTGTTCCAGAGAGAGATATAATATCTTTAGGAGACATTTCATCCTCTCAGGCTACAAACTGTCGTGCCTCCAAAAAGTCTCCAAGTGTTGCAAGCGTTGGAAGTAAGAGATCTTCCTTTAAATCTGAGAAATTCCGAAAATCATCATCATCGTCATCTACATCCACATCGCAAAGCCATTCCTCTAGGTCACGATCGTCTTCGCCAAAACAGAAGTACAAAACACAGGACATTGAACATGTACTTGATAATACGACTAACAGTGAAGGCGATGAATCATCCAAAATCCAAAAAGTGCTACACAAAAGGCCTTCTTTTAAGGAAATATTTCCAGAACCTGTAAATCAAGAATTTATGGACAAATCTGTTGAAAGAAAATCAGTTGGTAGATTGTCCTTCTCGGAAAAAGATACCAATAGAATTTTTGATTCGGAAGAAGGTATCCAGACCAATGTAAAAAATGATTCTAGTTCTTTGAGAAGAACTAAGCTTAACACATCCCTTTCAACAGATTCAGGGGAATCAGACTCTCCAAAAACTGCACATAAGGTATTCGACTCCACAGACCATTTTCAGCGTAGCTTCCTATTTCCTGGAACTGTGAACAAACCAGAGACGACACCTTCAGATTCCGAGTCTTCGTGCAAAGAAGGCAGTTATATTTTGGACACTGAGTTCTACCCGTCAGAGAAGCCATGTGTCTCAGTCATCTCACCTCATTCTTTAACAGTATGTGCTCATTTGGCTTCTTTGGACAACACTGATAGCGAGAATGGTGATATATCCGACAACAACCAAGCTTTGAAAGGAAACATCAAACTGGACAGGACTGTATCCCTGGGGGACGCCCCTCCTCCACTCCCACAAAGTTCTCCTCCAGACGTCATAGAAACAATAAGTCTTGGCAGCTATGCAGGAAACGATTTTGTGCCCTCTGAAGTAAAACAAATGGCCTCTGAGAGTTTTGCGAGCACTGGTAAAACCCCCGGGTATCTAAGGACATCAGTAGCTTACTATGGTCCTATCTACGCCAGCAATAATACCCTCATCCTACCCACAAAGTCAGCTCAGCCGTCTCTCGATCAGTGTGGAAACCAAGGTATGACTGAACTACTAATGTTTAAAAATCGATTAATGTAGTGATGTCTATTTAGTATACATGTATTAGGTATTAATATTTTATAAATATAGTTAACTTAACAACACACACTTTGGTTGTAAAATCCTTTATTTTCGTGGTGTCGAATTTTCGTCGATATAGAAAAATTGTTGTGGTGTTTTATTCATCATGATCAGGAATTCATGGTGTTGCATACAACGAAAACGATAAAAGAACGTGATTTCATCTTATTTAAAGATCTGATTTTGGAAAAATAAAATATTATAAGTAGCTGAAACATATGCCAATGAAGAATACTGTCTTAATAATTCTTTCTTTCAAATTCTAGACTATCGTTCTGATGATGATACTACTAGCAATTCATCGGCTTCTTCTGCCTCATTAAACCACAAACACAAGGTTCAGAATGCTGAGAAAGAAAATGTAACTGACAAAGTAATATCAGAGATGACAGGTTTAACGGAAGATACCCCAAACCAAAGTATTGGAAATGGCTTACAAAATGATTTTGTCAAGAGAAATTCGTCTGGTTCTTCTTCGTCTTCAAACGAAGAACACAGTGCTGTACTTGAGAATCAAATTGCCAAGAAAGAAGATGACAATACAATATCCGATAACTTAAAGGCTTGTTTAGCCGAAGTCACTCTAAAGCTAAATTCTGCAAGTGAACCACAGTTTAGATATACACGGGCTGGGTCAGAGCAGAAAAATTCACCTAGCGTTAATGCAGAAATTCATCAGGTGCTGGAAACTTTAGATAACGCCATATTGGGTGTTTCCGAAGATACTGCAGAACAAGATACAGTAAAACACCGCGGTCATCATGTGGTTGTGGCTATCGACTTTGGCACCACGTACAGTGGGTATGCCTACAGTTTTACCAGAGACCCCTCCCATGTCCATCTAATGAGGAAGTGGGAGGGAGGGGACCCAGGTGTTATCAATGAGAAGACCCCCACCAGCATTCTCCTGACTCCCGAGGGTCAGTTCCACTCCTTTGGCTACAGCGCCAGGGATAACTACCATGACCTTGGCAAAGAAGAGGCAAAAACTTGGATGTATTTTGAAAAGTTTAAGATGATCCTCCATAACACGCCGGTTAGAAGTTAGACTTTTCCCTATTGAATGATAAATGTTGCCAGTTAGATATAGAGATACGTTAAATTTTTCCACAAAATGGCCCTGCCCATATACCAATGAACTTGCAAGTTCAAATGTCCTATTTCAAACATCAATATAAAGTAGAAAAAAGTGCTTTGAAATTCATTCCCTATAAAAAGAAGGTCCTCAAAGGGTTCAGTATTTGGAAAACAGGCCTGCGTAGCGCATGCAGCTGTAAGAGCTGCTGCTCTAGAGTCTTGGAGAAAGTAGTAGGTCATAATATCGCAGAGTCGAATCCTACTGCGGGACGTGGAGACCGTGTAAACCGAGGTCCTGTGTTGCATATAAAATATCACTTTCTGCTCAATGGTCCTGGGTACCGAGTGTAGGTCTAAATTTCCAGACCTCCACATGGAGAGGCGGTGTCTCTATATAACAGAATTCGAGAGGGATGTTTTACAAAAACGAAACTTTTTTATCCAGTCATTCTATTTTTTCTTTATCAATAAAATATTTCCATTCTATATTTTTAGGAATTAAGCAAGGATACATTACTTAAAGCTTCCAATGGAAGACTTTTTCCGGCGATGACTGTGTTTTCCTTGGCTCTGAAGTTCTTCAGGGACCACGCCCTACAAGAACTGAGTGACCAATCAGGAATGAAGATTCTGAATGAAGACGTACGATGGGTTATCAGTGTACCCGCAATATGGAGAGCTTCGGCTAAACAGTTCATTAGGCAGGCTGCTTACGAGGTCAGTCAACTCTCCACTTATGTCAAAAATTTATGACTGATAGAGATGCAGCTTCATGAGATCGATATGACACACTTGTTGATGTCTTCTTTAAAAAAAACATATGCACATTTCTGATGCTTAAAATATATCAATGAACTGGACCAATTAAAAAAATCCTAAATGATTCTTGTAGGGTGGTTTGGTTTCCTCCCAATGTCCGGAGCAGATGATCATTGCCTTAGAACCGGAAGCTGCTTCTATCTACTGCAGAAAGTTAAAAATGTACCAACTTGTCCCGGAAATAAACGAAGAGCGCCCTCTTCAGTCACCAAAGTTTGCCTCTGTTGAGCCAATGAATATAAATCCTGCCTGTGAGGATTTGAAAGAAGGTTAGTTTATACTTACTATAGTATACACTTAATCTATAGAGAGAGAATTTAGTAGAATTCTCTGTCGTTCTCGACACTACCTAATAATCGTCTCTCAAATGACGACATAGATTCTCATTGGTCAAGAAATTAATAACATCAGCAACACTAAACTGTTGTTGACAATGATGAAACGACTTAAGACCAACCTCTTTGCCGTACGAAACGTTGTCATTGGATGCTTGCTATATTTTCATTTCTGTATAGCTATTCTTTGGTGTAAAGAGTTTTTGATACCTACATGATTTCTTTTTATTTGAGTTACTATACAGCTGTATCTTTCATGAATTCTTCGTATTTTATTCATACATTTAAATCACATTGTGCGTATTATTGTGTTCCGTTATAAGACCTTTTTTATTTTTATGAAACAGAATTCATTTATAAAACCAGAAGTCAATCCATTTGTATATTGGTTATTTTACGAAAAAAAAACTTGTTACCAAACTAACAACTTAAATTTACAGTAAACTACTAAACTTGATAACTTTGATATTGTTTACTTCCTTTATTTATACAGTACAGCAATAAACATGTAAAGTACAAATCCGAAGTACATGTACCTGATCCGACCTCTGTTTTCAGAGTTCTGTTTGTCACCTATCCTCAGATATATTTTTTTACTCGGTTCA